AACCCCTTTAGGAGGAAGTCATTACAATGCCAAAGGGCAGACACAAAATCAACTTCATTTCAACAAGCTGGCCTGCCCCGATGCTGGGCGACACATTCCCCTCACTGCAGGGTTTGTCCATGCCAACCAGAGCAGGTCATATAAAGTGAGGCAAAAATAGATGTGAGCTCTAATACTTTCTACATAGCTGTTTCAAAGACAGGGGTTTATTTGTTTTCCAAGCCAACAATACAATAGTGCTCAGGCCCAGTGATGTAACTGAGGGTGGCAGCTTACCTTCTGGAGACTGACATCAGCCTGCAGCAGGCTCTCCACAGTGGGCCTTGGGAGGGACAGGTTGTGATGAAGGAATCCAGAGAAGGTTTCATTGTCCACCAGGAAATCCTGGAGCTTCAAGTCTATTGAAAAATGGTGTTTTGTTTACAGTTAATAGCAAAAAAAGGGGGGGGGGACAACCACTATGGGGCAGGTGGAGAAGAATAGAATATTGATCGCTTCATTTTAAACGGATGGGTGACCACAGGCTTCTGGCTTACATACACTGAGAAGTGAGTTGCAGGCGCTTGTCTCACTGGGAAAGACATGGAAAGATTACTTTCTGGTGACATGTTGAGCCACACTCAGTGTGTGTTCTTACACTGCAACGGCATAACAGTGCTGTTACACACACGGTCTTTCCTTGTTTACAACTGAAAATCCAAACCTTTAAAATGATCTCATCCATCCTCCCTGAAATTTGTGACACGATCCCTGCTGCTCCTGACGCCCCAGTGCCCTGCCACGTAGCTAGAACTGAAAATACTGAAAGCCTTATTTCCACAAGCCACAGGGGCTAAGCTCCTGAATCAGCAGGCAACGGTTCTCTAACTTTCCTGTGGCTCGGAATCGCTTGATGGGCTGCTTCACCTAGACTGCTGCACACCAGCCCCAGAGCATCTGATTCGGGCGGCTTGTGGCACAGCTGGAGCATCTGCACATCTTGCAAGCTCTCAGGTGGTGCTGATGCTGCCAGGATGGGGACCACACTTTCAAGAATCACTGGGGTGACCTCTGATGCATATCCAGGTGTTTTTACAGACATGGTTGGCCATGGGATACAGAGATGCAAACCCCAATTCCTCCAAACACTGAGAAAAATATGTAAACATGTTTAAAAAAAAACACCCTAAATGCATTGACTTCTGAAAGCTTTCACACTGACTCTCATTAAGCAATTAGCTCTCCAAGTGCATTCAGGAAAGGTTTCAGCCCAGTGTCATGAAATAGAAAAAGCACTGTCCAAGAATTCAGAATTTTAGTCTCTGGTGGAAGCAACATAGGATGGTACCATTTGAATATTTCTAACATCTTTCTGAGCCTCAAGTTCTTCAGCTCTGAAGCAAGGGAATTCTGAGTGGATGCTGGGTGGGACCCTCTCCACAACACCATCATTTTCCTGCCTTATTTTATTGACTATATTTCTCTTCTCTTTCCACTCTAAACTTCTAATAACCTGAATTCTTTTTTTTTTTTTTTTTTTTTTTTTTTTTGCAATTTGTATTTGCAGACTTGAGCCCACAGGCCCACACACAATCTGACCACTAGAGGGCAAACTTTACAAATCACTTACCCAAAGAAAAAGAGGCTTCATCTGAAAACAAAAATACAGGGCGTACTGATATGAACTGGGGTTTATCCTGGGATCTCAAAGGGTCTCCCAACATGGAGAAAAAACAGCCCAAGCACGCCCTCAAAAGAACTAAATGACCCAGGCATCAGAAGATGCCTGAGCGACTTTGCCTTGAGCAAAGTTCAGGGAGCTCCAGAATGAATAGATAAGAAGTGGTTCTCCTCAACGCCTCTGTGGTTGGTTCCTACGGTTCCTCATGACACCCAGAAGCTGGTCATAGGCCTGTGAGTGCCCCTTCTTGAAATCAGCACTCCAGCAAGCTGTCATCTGCCTGCTCTTTCCATCATACAAGACACACACTAGTACCACTGAATCCAAGTCTGTGGTTGCCAAGCCTCAGAGCTCCTAAGACTCACTGAGGAAGCATGCAAAACTAGCCTCCAGGTCTCATCCCTTCAGATCCTAAACCAGTGGTTCTCAGGGAGACCATTCACAAACCTTCATTTTAATAAAGCAGTCTTGACACTTCCAGTATACTAGGTCTAGGACCCATAAATTATGACATGTTATTTTACTTAAATACTGCCTGTATTAAACTCTGCCTATAAGAATACAAAATGCCTTTTATCTCAGTGTTCCAAATAAGTAGAACTAGGCCTGACACAGAATTACTGCTATTAATGACAGTTGAATAAGTACTAGTTGAGATTACCAGAAAGATTCCAGAAGTATCTTTCCGCTTAGTGGGTCCAGGAAGAGGCTAAAGATGTCAGGATCATCCCTAAACCACAGCCCAGGAGTAAATAAGAACTCTGACCACTAGAATTGTGTTCCCAAGGACAATAACATCTTGAACACCCCAGCGTTCTCATGACAGAGAGAAGGAAAGGAAGAAGGAAGGGAGGGAGAGAAAGAGGAAAGGAGGAAGGAAGAGAGGGAGGGAAGGAGGGAGGGAAGGAGGAAGGAAGGCAGAGAGCTTCAGCTGAAGCTTAAGGAAAGGCAGACACACTTATAACTAAATAAAAAAAAGGAGAACTGGGGCTCAGTATGTGCAAGACCCTATAACACACACACACACACACACACACACACACACACACACACTCACTCACTCATACTGGGAATCCAAAACCTGGGTTCTACATCCATTTATTTACCAGATTGTTTGACCTACTTAAACTTCCATGACCTTCCCTATAAAATGAGGGTCAAAAGAGGCCTCTGGAACCCTTGGTAGAACACAATAAATTCTGAACTAACACTCGGATCAAACAGTTGAACACAAATTCCTCCTAAGCAAAGCCACAGCGGTACACAGCATCCTATTTAGACACTTGAGAGCGGCTCCCTCCCTTTGGGGCAGCAGAAGTGTGGGAGGCTGACCCAGGCTGCACTTTCAATGGGTCTCAGTCACCCAGCAACACTCTGGAGACCAGCAAATGTGCTTGGCATGTTTATAAGACGCTCCTGTTATGTCAACAGGACTGGAGGATACAACAGGCTCTAGAGATTTAAAAAAAAAAAAAAACAGCTGGATGTGGTCAAAGTCTAACTGCCTATCCCCTGGACGAGACACAGAAACCAAGAAGCCGGTTAAACAGTCAACTGCCCTTGGCAGTGCAGGAGGATGGTGTGGCAGACGAGCTGGGTGGGGAAGCTGCCGGGAGGGCCAAAGATCCCTGGCTCCAAACAACTCAAACTTACAGTCCGGTCACGTGGCTATACACACATTATCTTCTACTGTCACATCACCACCAACAGCTGGAACTCATACACACACAGGAAGGCAAAAGCGTGTGGTATGCTGGTTCTCAACCTTGGATGCTGCTAGACCCACTCGGGAGCTTTAAAAAACTCAGAAAGCCTAGACCGCACCCCAGAGCAATGAACCAGAATGGCTGGGGATAGGGATTGGGTCTCAGACATTAACACAAAAACAAAATTTTCCAGCCGTTAGAAAAAAATAAGTGGATGTAGTGGTGCATTGTGGTGGTATTGTGTTCCCCAAAATATTGTGCACCCTAATAAACTGTTTTATCTGGGGTCAGAGACAGAACAGACACTAGATACAAAGGCTAGAAAATGGTGGCATTCACACCTTTAATCCTAGCATTCCAGAGGTAGAAATCCCTCTGGATCTCTGTGAGTTCAAGGCCACATAGGAAACAGCCAGGCATGGTGACACACGCCTTCAATCCCAAGAAGTGAGCGTCTAATCCCAGGGAGTGATGGCTAAAACAGGAAGATATATAAGGCGTGAAGACCAGAAACTAGAAGCATTTGGCTGGTTAAGCTTTTAGGCTTTGAGTAGCACAGTTCAGCTGAGATTCTTTCTGGATGAGGACTCAGAAGCTTCCAGTCTGAGGAAACAGGATCAGCTGAGGAATTGGTGAGGTGAGGTGGCTGTGGCTTGTTCTGCTTCTCTGATCTTCCAGCATTCACCCCAATAACTGGCTTCAGGTTTGATTTTATTAATAAGACCTGTTAAGTCTCCTGCTACAGTGCACACCTGTAGTCTCAGTATGTGGGAGGTAGAGGACTGCAAAATAGTGGCCAGCCTGGGCTACAAAGTAAGTTTCAGCCATGGTTACACAGACAGATCATAACTCAGAAACAAAATTATATGAGCAAAAAGGAGTTTGGAACCACAAAACCCCAAATGTAGCAGTGTGTCCTGCTATAAGTTAGCTGTGTGGCCATAAGAAGGTTCACCGTGTCTTAGTGAAGCCAAGTATTATCTATAAAGGAGGATAGCAGAACCTACATTTTGAAGACCTGGAGACTAGAGATGTTTATAATCCAGAGCAATGAGTAACTGACTTGTGACCAGTGCTTATCAATGGTAACAGATTCATGGTCATTAGAACAGCTCTTTTACCTGGCTTTGCTACACTACATGCAACATGCAGAAAAAAATGAGAACACAGCTCTGCCCTCAAGGGGTTTTCTTGGTTATTAGTAAGAGGGATGAAGAGGCGCACAAGTTACAGAAAACAGAAGAAAGGGGGAGAAAGCCGGTAGAGGAAGACAGTCCTTAAAAGCAGTCAGAAGAAGATGAAATTATCTGCAAGAATATCATGGAGGAAATCACGTTACGGTTGTAGAAAAGACCACAAATCAACCACCCCTAGAATTTAGTAGGATGAAGACAATCCCTCTCATGATGGCAGGCACCCAGAAATTCTGTACTCAGGGGGTTATATACACAGTAAATTCTCAGTATGTCTATGAACAAAGAGAGAGAGAGAACAAATTCCACAAAACTCCAGATCTGAAAAGTGGGAGGAAAAAAAAGAGAGGTGGGAAAGAAACAGTATTAAGGATGAAGTAGAGTGGTTTTGTCCTTGCTGGTCTCTGTCTTCATTATGCAGCTAGGTGGGTAAGGAAATAAAAATAACGGACCAAGCCAGATGACAGAAACAGCTATTCTTTCTGTGTGAAGATACTGGATGGGTGGGTGGATGGATGGATGGATGGATGGATGGATGGATGGATGCATGGCTGCATGGCTGCATGGCTGCATGGATGACAGGATGGAGAGATGGATGGGTAGGGGTAGATGGATGGATGGAAGGAGAGATGGATGGGTGGGGGTAGATGGATGGATGGAAGGAGATAGATGGGTGGGGGGTAGATGGATGGGTACAGACAGATGGATGAGTAGATGGATGGATGGGTTGGTAGATGGATACAAATGCATGAATGTAAAATAAGCTGATGTGACCTGGGAAATGGCCAGTTTTAAAGAGATAAATTCATCTTGTAGAGGGAAGGGGAAAGACCAATCAG